AATATCATTGGTCGACTGATGGCTGAGTTGCACAGCGTCATTGCTTGCTAAGATGCTGGCTCCCCCACAGAAGCATTGCTTGTTATGGTGCACCAGTCTGCATCCAATAACACTGTGCAGTCCAAACACCAGTAACCTACTGACCAACATCATATCAAAACATCACCCAAAGAAAGAAACCTTCTGGAGTTAGATATCCAGACATTATGCAAATAATAGGGCTTTAGGATTGCTGCTCATGAAAAAATGCAGAGACAAAATACATAACACCTTATAGATTTATTAATTTTAAAGTTTAAAATAACAACCATGATGAAGCACATATGAAATGGGATAAAACTGGAAGTGCAGAAGTGGACATGAACCCGGCCAGGACCACAAACTACTAGCACTTGTCCATAATATTGTTGAACTTGATCTGATTTAAATTATTGTCTCTTTCCAAGTTTAGGTATTCAAGAAAGGCAATGGTAGAGATATAGTTCATATGAATCCTGATTCTCAACCCCTTTTTTACACTTGGGCTTCATCAGGAGAAGGGTTAAAATTTTGCAAATTTGCTTCTTAATTTTATACGTGCAGATGCGGGCCAGAGGCAGTAAGAGTACACCAATCCTCCTGGGCGGGGACCGCAAGAGGTTGAAATGAAACAATGCAAGGAAAGTTAATCAAATGGATCTTTTCATAAGCCAATAAGGTGCATCATTTATGTCAGCTCCTCCCAAAACCTTCTTCTCTCTATCCCCCTGCTCACCTCCTCCCATGCTCGCTTCCAAGACTTCATAATAATGATTGGTGAATCATTAGCTGCTAGGGCACAGTTGGCACTGGTATCGGTTCACTTGGATGCTCGCCAACCCTAGATTTCTGGCTTGATTCAGCAAATGCTGATTAGTTCTGGCAATTTGAAGCCCATTCCGAAGCTGCCTGCCCCTGATCGTTCTACTCATTTTCCAGCTTCACTATTAGCACAGTCATTGGGGTCAATTTACTAAAGGCAATTAGCCTGTTCACTTTGTAGGATAATTTTCCCTTAGCTTAGTGAATTTGGTGAAAATTCACTTTGCAAAGAACACAAAATCACGAGCAGGAAAAATTGAAGAAAACTGTTTGCTTGCTTGCACATGATTGGATGATGGAAGTCAGCAGTGCTTCATCTCATTTAAGTGAACAGCCTATTTGTATTTAGTAAATCAACCCCAGTGTCTCAGGACAAGTATGTAGGTCAAGAATTGTTTTGGGCCAGTAACTTCGTATGTAGGAGGACATCAACAAGGCATCTAGCTATTCAAAGGCGGGCTGGAAATGGAACCACATTTTTTTTTTGTGATAGCTTCCGTTTAAAACAAGCCAGTGCTTTTCCCATTTATTTCTTTATTTATTTGTTACAGGTATTTGTATAACACTGAAAATGTATGCAGCACTTTCACATATTGAACATTTACATTAGTACCTGCCCTCAAGGAGCTTACATTCTGAGGTCCCTATCTCATGTGCACACACATACTAGGCCCACTTTAAACAGGAGGCAATTAACATCCAAGGCCCTATGTCTTTGAAGGAAACCAGAGTACCTGGAGGAAACCCACACAAACACAGAGAGAACCCACAAATTTCATGCAGGTAGCATCCTAGTTGGGATTCAAATCTAGGAAACCAGTGCTGCACTGCATCAATGCTAACCACTAAGCCACTGTAGAGACTCATTGTAAGTTCAACACATGTAGCATCTTATACTTACATTTGCTTTGCTCCCCCTTTGCTTTTTTTACCATTCAAAGTGAGAAGAAGCCCTGTGTAAGCTCCAAGTCAATCTTAGAGTTTACAGGGGAATGAGGAGTAGACATGTAACACCCCCAAAAAATTGTTTTGTTTCATTTAGTATCGATTCAGATTTTTATTTCTTTCCGTTTTCGGATCCGAAATTTGATAAGGGTTCATTATTTGGATTTCGGATCCGTCCAAATTTTCGTTTCGGAACAGTCGAAATGTTTATTTTGGATCTATTCTGATGGGGTTCTTTAATTATAAATGAACCTAGTTAATTTTAACCTAGTTATTTTTTGGGGGGTTTTTTGGTCATTATTTACACCGTGTGCTCTCCTAATGCTCTTATCGACTCTCTCTACTTCACAACTGGAGGTGACATGGCCTTGCCTTTAATGCTATCCCCAACAGCCAAAAAAATCTGATTGGCCAGAGAACAGTCACATGTCCAATTTAGGGCCCGTTCACACCAGTTGCAGTGCGTTCCGTCCCGATTCTGGCCGGAACGCACTGTCTCGCATTGCAGCCCCTCACTTTTTAGTGGGTCAGGAGGGTGTGTGGCGGGCCATTTAAGTGAATGGCACCGTAGCCACGCCCTCCGGCCGCAATGCGATTGCACACATGGGATCGCAAGGCACAGTGTGCCTCTGGTCCGGTGCAATCAAAATAGTGCTTGCATCGGACCGAATGTGCCTTGCGATCTCGTGCGGGCGATCGCATTGTGGCCGGAGGGTGTAGCTACGGTGCCATTCACTTCAATGGCCCGTCACGGCCCCTCCTGACCCACTAAAAAGTGAGCCGGCCGCAATGTGAGGCAGTGCATTCTGGCCAGAATCGGGCCAGAACGCTGGCACCAGAGCTGCCTACTGGCGCCAGAGCTGCCAGTAGGCAGAAGGGAATGAGTCACATACATACTCCTCCATATCCAGAAGTGAAGAGGTGGGGGGAGCAAAGCAAAGGGAATAAAGTTCTGCTGCAGGGGCTGACATCAATTTGAACCGGTTGTTTTTTGCCTGCATGGTGGAGTTAACGAGAACCTTTTTTGCATAATTTCTAAAATAATTTAAAGTATAAAATAAGGTTTGAGGACTAATCAATTGAGAGAGTAAACACCCAGTTTGCAACAGTTTTCCCATCCTTCTCAACAACTGTTGATATACGGCTTCGGGAAGTGATATACGGCTTCAGAAAGTGCATTGTTACCAATGAGTCGGCTGACTCATAGGAGTTGGTTTATAAACAATTTGCAGGGTTGTTCACTCTGCAAATATTATTGAACATTCATCATGTGTGAATATATGCACACACAAAAGTTATTTTAGTTTTTTCCTTTACAAGTGTAATTCAAAATACATTGTCTGATTGTATTAGCACATTATGGCCACCTACACAAGAGGCATAAGAAATAAGTATTTATTTTCTATGTTCCTCAGCTCCATCTAGTAGCTGAAAAGTGATATTACAATTCAGAACATTTTAATTTAATTACACTTGTAAAGAAAATATAATAAAAAAAACTTTTGTTTGTGCATATATTTGCACGGGATAAACATTCATAAAATTGTTTATAAATCAACCCTATAGATTTACAATATGAGAAGGAACAGTAAAGCATAACCATTGTGTAGCACTTCAAAGCAATATTTACATAATTGTAATTGTTTCTTTTAAGAGATGTGGTCCTGCCAAACAGTCATCTGCTTATTTTTAATTGTCACTTGTTGAGCTGAAAGTGCCTGTCTTCTATATGTTGCAACCAGTTGACCCCTTTACCTCATGCCTCCCGAGATTCCTCATTGGCTAGCTGGGCCACCGATGTGGAAGGGTTACACGCCAAGGTGGACTTCTACAAGAAAAGTCAAGTTTTGCATATAACTTATGCTGTCACCTATATAGGAATGACACCCATAGCTGCCAATATGTATGCCAGTGATAGCTTTTCACGCAGTGTGATGACCATGTTGCAGCCATGGGAACATCATTAGGGTGTCCATTGAAATGTACCTACATACCATTCATGAAAAATTACCTATTCCCCAATTAATAATATAAGCTGTGTCTTTTTGTTACAACTGTATGGTATGGATTATGATTTAGCCCCCATTAACAGTTGTGTGGTGGAGCAAATGTTTAGTGTGTTACAGTAGGGTAACCCATTACTGTGATTGGGCTACCAACCACATCTAAATCACGCTAACGAAGTGCACAACCCTTGTTTTAATTCACACAAAAAATATGTTACCATGCATTGTCGTGTAATGTAATGCACAACCGATGGCTAGGTGTGTTGGGGTTGGCGTTAAGAAATAATGGCACTGCATTCCACCAAACAGTGTCACGTGATCTCATGCAATGCAAACCCGCATCACATAGAAGTGAAGGAGGGCATAAGTGATTGGCTGAACCTTGTGGTTTTAAATTAATTAGCTAATAAGCTTGGATAGATCAAAATATCTACTGTATCTTAAAGGATAATTGCACTTTCCAACAAATTGGGAATAGCACATGACCTATCTGGGACCTTGTTTTAAGCAAAGGCCGTGCAGCACCAAGCAGGACTGCACAGTAAAGAACTCCAGAGCAGGGCTGACTAAATATTTTATCATATATTTCTAATTCTACAGATTATGGAAGGTTCAATCTTATGCAAGAATTGGCATTTTTGTAAAATTCCTAGTGAATTCAGAGTCTAAAAACAAAACTACATGTACTGCATTGGCATACCAAATAGCTAAACTATGCAACTATAGTAAGTATCAACGACTTTCTCCTACAAGGTATAAGCTATTTCAACAGAGTCAAATTTGTAGGTATGTTTAACAAGAAGCAAAAGAGACACCATATTTCTGACTGAGCAGACAAATAATGAAAGGGTACATTTCCAATGTAATTACATTACACATTGGGTGTCTGGATAAAATGTTGCTTGTGTGCAGTTTCTACAACTATAATTTATCATAAAATGTTCTTTCTTGGTAAGGTGTGGCACACAACTGTTTTATAGGAGAAATAAAATGGCATATCCAGAAACTGAACCTGGAACCCAAAATGCTCAATTTTTATGGGCATATATATTTTTTAGTTATTGCACAAACATGATAGGGCACATTCTCATGGGAAACTAAACCCTTAGTGGGAAACACCCTACTGAGCGATATAAAATAGAGCTCATTCAGTCCAGTATGTTGCCAGAAGCATTTGTTTGTCCACTTCACTAGTTGACTGAAGTCATCATGAGCGTCAAGCTAAGCCAAAGATCTTCATCTGGATCCCTTAGAGGATTAGGGAGTGGAAGCTGTGGTGTTGGTCGTATTTCTAATGTACGCACAGGTGGATCTTATAGGGCCTCCAGTGTTCATGGTGGTCATGGAAGCAGAGTCATGGGCTCCTCTTATGGAGTTGGCGGTCTTGGATGTGCATCTGGTGGAAGCATTAGCTTAGGTCTAGGGGGTGCTGGAGGCTATGGCTCTGGGTTTGGATATGGCAGTGGAAGTGCTGGAGGCCTTGGATCTGGCTTTGGCTTTGGTGGAGGATCATTTGCTTCTGGTGGTGAAAGCATTATTAACATCAATGAGAAGGAAACTATGCAAGTTCTCAATGATAGATTAGCTTCCTATTTGCACAAAGTCCGCTCTCTAGAGGATGAAAATTCTCAGCTGGAAAAGAAAATCCGAGAGTGGTATGAAAAGCAAGTTCCATACACATCTCCTGATTTCAATCCCTATTTTAGGACTATTGAGGAACTCCAACACAAGGTACGTTTATGGTCATCTATCAAATTGCAATATTTAAATGATACATGTGCCAGTCCCATACACCTTGTATGAGGTTCTACCAAATCTGATCATTGCACAAATTTCTCTGCCACCTTTTCAGATCTTGCAAGCAAATGCTACAAATGCCTCTATTTTACTCCAAATTGATAACGCTCGTCTGGCAGCTGATGACTTCCGAACCAAGTATGTTTTATCATAACCTTTAGTTTTTTATAAATGTTGTCATGTTTGAATTGTAAATCTTCTAGGACACAAATTACTCCCATTCATGGTCATAGCAACAGCATAGATAATACCCTAATTCTACATAAACATGATTAAATAAGTTTCATGTGTAATGAGAATGTGTAGAATTTAATATTTTTTACATTTGTATGTTCAATAGATTAGCTAAATGGAAATAATATTTCCAATGTGTGTTTTCTGCTTTAAAACGCTGTTTGTATGTATAGTTTGTAAATATATATGCACACGGTGCAGCCATATGTGCTCATAACACACAGGTTCTGCTTCCTGCTTTGCAGTGCTACACAATGGTTCTGCTTTACTGCTCCTCACCACAATGCATGTCTATGAGTCAGCTGACCTGTTGAAAAACAATATGGGTCTGAATTTTGTTTTATCTCAATAGCCATTAAGAAGGGAGGCTGTATGATATCACATTGAGTGTTTACTCCCTGTAGCAGCTCATCTTTAAATCTAACACACATTACTGTAACACACATTATTGTAACATATTTATTATATATAATAAATAAATGTATTATATAATGTAATATAAATATAATACACATTTTAAAAGTCATAAAGAGCAAAAAAGTGAAAGTCATATCTGAGATAAAAAAAGATTTAAAACAAATATATTAAAAGGTAAATACTTCGGTATTAAAAATGGGAAACCTGTTCCTAAACTGACCACATCTCACAACATATGCCATCATGGATTGTGTGCTTTTCAATAGACTTCACAATCAAAGGACTCATATTTTTCATGTATAGCCATATATTTCACAAGCACCATGAACTGGGTCTGACTATTGATAATCTACATATAAAATATATACATGTCTTACTTATACATATATTTTATAGTTGTTTGAAAGCATTATTATAAATATGTCAGCATTGTATAGAATTGTATGTCACAGTCCATCTAGCATTTTACATGGTGTGTGTGCAATTAAATAAAATTAAAATTTGAAGTCAAGTAACTGCAAACCACATAAATGACTTAGTGTGCAATTTATTGAAGTGGTTTACATGACCTGATTACAGAAAATATATTCCATATTTCTAGGACTTCTCTGTGCAGGTAGGACTTGGGTGTATCTAGGTGCCAATATCCAACGGCTGGTATTTGTTGTTTTTCTTTAACGATATATAAAACTTCTTGTCAGATTTGAAAACGAGGCCGCTCTCCGCATGGGAGTAGAAGCTGACATCAGTGGACTCCGACGCGTGCATGATGAACTTCAACTGAGCAAGAGAGACCTGGAAATGCAACACCAGAACCTGAATGATGAGTTGAATTTCCTGAAGAAGAACCATGAAGAGGTAATTGCCTTCTTCATAAAGTTAAGGAATCAATTAATTTAAAGTTAAGGTAAAGTTCAAGGTATCAGCAGACTAAAGAGAAAAAATAAAATAACGTTGGAAAATGGAGAAATGAACAGAATTCAAAAATACACAGTATGCATAAATGTTTTTGGCAATAACTAGAGCAGAGGACATTCAAAATCGAATTACCATTGTGAAGAGAAGAATTTTACCAGTTTCTAAAAAAATGCTCTTTTTAGACAAGCTTTACCCAAATAGGCAGAATGATGGGACATCATACATATGGGCAAAATGGTGAAATGCCATCATGAAGGAGAACACAAAGGACAGTAGAAAATGATAGACTCCATTATATGTCTCTCTCCTGCCTGGACAGCAATAAAGTAATTTTAGTATTCGCCAGGCAGACTGGCCTGAGAACTGAGGGGTTTTGTGAGCGCCTGTGAAGTACTAGATCTCAAATCAATTAAATTTATTGGTGGCTATTGTTCAACTTTTTTGGTGCCAGTTACCATAATGATATCAAACAAGGCAAAGCTTAGTGGCGATACATGTGGGTTTTTGTGCTTTAAATGGCAAGTTAGAATGTAGCTTCCAGTGTAGCTATGTAATCATCACTCCATAGAGTTGAATCTGACCTCCTTGCAGATATTTAAAACACCATTGAATTCAGTCATTTACATATATAAAAAAAAGTGTATTTTAGTTTTAAACTTGTATATATAGCTGATTTTGAATTGGTATCAGCTTCTTATAATTCTCTGTACTGCAGCACTCACACTAAAACAGGGAAAGGTCAGTATTTGAACCAATCGGGTTTCCTACTTGTACATGTGCTGACATAAAACATGCTGATAGGAACAGAGAGCAGACGGAGAAACTCATCACTCCACTGATGCTCCTTCATTATCCAGTCACAGACTGAGGTTGGGAAGGTGACCCAGCAGTATTGCTTAACTGCAGCAGAGAAAGGTCAGGTCAGCACATTGCTGTGTATAAATCTCAGGGCTGGATGGCCAGAAATGTAAAGCCTTGATGGCTTGTATAAATGCATTCCAATGGTGCATTTTGCTGTTGCCCAGCTTAGCTCTGAGAGGCAAATGACAGCCAATGATTATGTATTCTTCATAATCATTTGGCACTGTATTATTCTGAGACTATTGAAGTACTTCCACTACAGTTTTTACTCCTGTCCAGACAGACTGTCATTCCCTGTCCAACTATACAAAAAAAAAAAGAAGAACAGATACAGGAAATTGGATTTTGTATATGAGTTGTTCAAGGGAGACTGTGCAAATTATTCATCTGAATACATGAGCCTAGGAAAGTATTGACAACGTATCCCATAGAAAACTAAATCATCAGATTAATTAAAATGTCTGCCTTTCCAGGAGGTGCTTAGCCTGCGTTCTCAGTTGGGTGCCAAGATCAATGTTGAAGTAGATGCTGCGCCAGCTGTGGACCTGAATAGAGTGTTAACTGATCTGAGGTCTCAGTATGAAAATATGATGGAACAAAATCAAAAGGAAGCAGAGAAGTTGTTCCATGATAAGGTAAGAAACATACAATTCTCAGAACACTAATGGTATCTATTGAACTGGGTTTGTGACATAATAATTTGTTCTCTCTAGAGTGATGAACTGAACCAGCAGATGACAAGCAGCTCCCAGCAAATACAGACCTTTAATACAGAAGTCCTTCAGCTCCAGCATACATTCCAAAATCTGGAGATAGACCTTCAGACCCAAAACAGTATGGTAATAACTTTTTTATATTATGCTTTTTCATAATGCGACTTGCCTTTTCATGCCTGAGAAATATTATTTCAGCCACATTTTGGTACACAAGGTAAGTATGTAATGCTTATATTCATGAAATAGATTCTAGAAGATCTATTACGTCATATAAAAACTTCATGCCATGCTAAGCTCTAATAAGGCTGAAGCAAATACTCAATATTTTAGACTGTGTTCTCTCAGCAAAGAACCAAGCATACATATTTTTGGGAATACCAAGGTAAGCGAAGTGTTTTAGCTACCAATGTCCAGAAGCAATTAATTAAGGGGTCTGTATACTGTGAGGGACTGTACATCATAGTTCTGAAAGTCATGAAATGCTAACCTATTCTCTATTGATGACCACAAAAACTTCCCATAGCAATCTCATTTCATACGCAGGATGTAAAAATAATTTCAGCTCCAATAGAGCACAAAAACTGTGTTCATTATAAATGTAATAAATTTGGTACGCTTCTCAAAAACATTCTCTCTACACAGAAAACTGCATTGGAGAACACTTTGGCTGATACAGAAGCCCGTTACTGTGCCCAACTCTCTCAACTGCAAGAAATGATTAATGATGTAGAGGTGAAACTAGCAGAGCTCAGATGCGATTTGGAAAGACAGAACTTTGAGTACAAAACTCTCATGGATGTAAAGACCCACCTGGAAAGGGAGATAGCCACATATAGGCAACTTATGGACGGAGAGGACATTCAGTACGTATAAACAACCAATGCAATTTTGTAGTACAAAAAGGTATGTGTGGTATGTACAAGAAGAAAGGCCATTCAGTGTTGGCCAGTTGTAACCCCGAACACCAGCCATTCCTATATCCCTTATTTACCAGGGAATCACCAGTCATCCTCCCTCTCCCTTATTATCTGGTCATCCCTCTGTTGCGTATTGCACTACTTGGATATGGGGAGGTAGATTGGTTATTAGAATTACTGACTTGCAAGCTGTGGTCTTGGGTTTAGTCATTAGCAAGAACACTTGGAGTGAATGCCTTACACTGAATGTTCTTGTGTTAGGCAGTTTCTAATTATGTGGCTTTGTTACAGGCGGGCATCATGGTATTCACGGAACTTGAGTGGCTCTGGAAGCTCTGTCAACGTGGGCAGCTCTGGAGGAACTGGTGGCATTAGCCATTCCGGCACCGGAAAACCAAGAACCATAGTAGAAGATGTCAGAGATGGATACTCTCAATCTAAAAGGGAATAAAACCAATCATCAATTCCTGGCCATATACACTTGAAGGCTCACATATTTTTCTTCCCCCTCTTCTTTTCATGGGTGCTAGATATTGAAAAGCAATATAACATGCTACTGGCCTTATGTATACCAACTGTAAGAAAGTAAAACTGGAGGACCTATCTCCAGTAACCAATTTTACCAAGATAATTTTACCATCTTATCAACTGGACAACAGTTTTTCATTATTTCCAAGAACTTTCTTGCCCCCCCTCATCTCTCTTCTAGACTTGGTCTATTCTTTAGTTTATTACAAGGTTAACTCTGTGCATCTTTTTTGTAAACAGGATAGTTGTCAAGCTATCATCTCTGCATTTGAGTTTACCATAAATACACATTCATGCTTTTAGGTGTTGTTTTAAGGCCTGGGTTACTTGCTGAATCTTTGAATAAAAATGATTTCTTTATGCAGTTTATTGTTTTGTGTTGTGTAATGTATTAGGTAGTACAGTTGCCTTTACAGTGCAGTTTCCATGTCTCCTCTTGACCTGTCATCCTATTCTAACAATTCTGTTATGGGTTGATACAAGCAAATTAATGGTCTAGTGATAGAGTCTCTATAAGCAGGTAGGGTGAGCAAAACTGGGTAAAATACAGAGCACCCTCTAGTGGCTGTTCTATAATTTCTATATTTAAAATCAGGTAAAAGAAAATCAGTACTGCTCGGCCCATTTTGACGATAATTTGATAAAGCGTGGTGTGGTAGTTGGCAACACCTTTCCAAGTGCAGTCCCAAAAAGTCCAAAAGCCAGCACTCACTAAGTCATAACATTTCCTTAATTGTCTCAAGCAGAACATACAGTACAGAAGTTAAATCTCCTGAGTAATGTGTTTCCGTTGAACCTAATTATAGCGGCATTATACTCAAAGTAAGGACACCCTAGTGGTCATAATAACAGGTGTAAAACCTGGAGAGGACATCCCCAAATATCCCCCTCTTCATGGGAGAGAACACTCACTTTGTGCTATAAAAATTGAATCATGGCATATCCCCAGCATGTACAGTATTCTTAATGCCTGAAACATAACCGTGGGACAGAGGATTCTGAGATCCACAATAGTGCTCTCCAATCCTAATCCTGATAGGGCGAATCATGCATCCTACATATTGGATCTCATATTTACAATCAATTACATGAACAACATAATCTCGATTGCAATGTATACATTGTTTATTAGGAAAAATCTTGCCAAACATCAATGATTTCACTTCTCGTGTTTTCATATGGATCTTGCAGTAGTGGCAGGTATTATAATCACATGTTAAGGAACCACATAGGAGGATTATGATCAGCTTTTTTGTCAAAAAGATTGGGTGATAAGATTACCCAGAGTTGGCGTCATTCTGTTCAAAATCAGCAACCCCCTTGATTATAGGACATAACTGCTTATCCATATAGTCCATCAACTTATTACACTGCCTTGAAAGGTTATACTTTTCTGACCCCTAGCTCTGGGTAAATCAATCTTCCTGTTTATGGCATAAAGCATGGATTTTTGCACTCTCAATAGTTCAATCTGTATATCCCTTGGCTCTCAGTCTGCCTGCAACATTATCCTTCTTCATTAAGGTCATATCATCTGATAAATTACGTTGTGCTCCCACAAACACTCCCACCATATGGTCTTCATTGTGTGGAAAGGGTGACAATTATTGGCGTTCCCACTGCAGTCCTTCCAAATGGTGGTTTATGCAACTCCCCTCATAGGGTGATGTTAAAAGGGCAATTGCCATCTGCACTGCTTGTGAACCAAAAGTTAAGTCCATTATTGTTCAAAAGTCCAAAAAAAACTCTCTTCTGTTCCAATGTTCCACAACAGACTAACAATAGGTCATCAATGCAGTAACCATACAATACAATATGGTTGCTGAGGCGATTAGCATCCTGCAAAGATGTGGAGTTTTTCTCACCAACCCATTATTAGGCTAGCTAGAGATGGAGAGAACTTAGCTCCACATATTTGCAGTTAGTGATCCCAACAAACAATTATTGTGGTGCAACATAAATTTCACAACCAAGACAAAAAACAACCTCAGGCAGCTGCATAAAAACTACAGTGAGAAAGGTGACGTTGTAAAGCCACTAAGGACAAATGGTGGGAAATTGAAAATACAAAAGCTCAAACATCAAAGGTTTAATGACTGAGGACAAATGGTGGGAAATTGAAAAATACAAAGCACAAACATCAAAAGTGACCAACACAAATATTAGAGAACACTAACAGGGTTATTTACTAAAGGATGAAGAGTTTGGAGAAGGCAGGATACATGAGCAATCTAGGACACCATAGCTGACCTAGAAAGTGAGCTGAATTGGAGAATTTTTCCAAATCAGGTATGTTGTCCTAGATTGTTCACTTCTCCTGTCTTCTCCAAACTCTTCACCTTTTTTGTGAATAACCCTGTGACATTTCTGTCCTAATATTCTTGGGCCTAGGGCTGCAAATAGGTGTCAACCCACTCCCTCAGCCTCTCCAACAATAATCCAAAGCCTGCCACAAAGAGGCAACCCTGAGGTGGTCTTCCAGGCTTGTGAACTTTGTGCAGGTGATGAGAAATGGGGTGATAGGTTACTGTGTCCTTGATACTCCACTATACTTTTGGACAGGACACACATACTCTCTCCGGTAAGATCAAATATAATCTCTATTATATCTGCCAAAAACTGAGTTAACTGAATTGCGTGACCAAGTCAAAGTTGTGTCTAAAACATCTCATTGTGAATCTAAAGTCTCATAAGAACTAAAATTCAGACTTTTGCCCCATCCTTTTAGAATAAATGTGGGGGTATTCTTATTGCTTGCGTTTTGTTACTGGGCAATAGTGTGGAGGGGCAGGTGATGCGACCAGAGCACTCTACTTTACCCTTGCGTTTTGTTACTGGGCAATAGTGTGGAGGGGCAGGTGATGCGACCAGAGCACTCTACTTTACCCCCCGTCAGAACCAATTAGGATGGTGTTATCTGCAGGAGATGGAGTGCTGCAAGGTAACATTTTTATACTTTGCAGCTTTTTAATGCACAGCTATTCAATGATAATTTACACACCCAGGTATGTGGTTTTAAATACATCCCAAATATACATGCATGCAACCACAAACTTGTCCCCTGCCAGCTGTATGGAAACAGTAAATTATCTACAGGGACTTCTGTGCTCGATTAATCTAAAGGTGGCCATACACTTTACAACCATTGCAAGACCTTAGTCTTGCGATGGTGTAAAGTAATTTTAAAAACGTACGATCGTCCCATCTTGGACAGGCAGATCGTACTTGCGATCATCGCAAGCCTGCCCCCCTGAGGGGCGGGCTTGCAATGACCGCAATGCTGAACGGGCAGTGTGTGCGTGCGCACACCGGCCCGTTCGGCATTTGTCTCCCGAGCACCGTTCAAACCAGGTTTTCTAGCGTGCTCCTTATACAAAGACGTGCGACCGTACAGTAGAAACGGTAGAAACGGTCGCACGTCTTCATTCACACTGCACGATTCTCGTACAATCGCGGGATTTCCTGCGATTCTCGTACGAGAATCGTGCAGTGTATGGGCACCTTAAGAAAACTGTGCTGGTCACTACGTCTAATTGACTTCATTAGGAAGTGACGTCAGAACACCTAGAGAGAAAAAGGAGGACAGATCTGATATCGAGGAATGTGATTCTGATACGCGATTTTAGTCGTTTTCTTGTGAGTGTATTTTTTTAATAAAATAATTTTATGCATTCGGGGTGCGCTATGATTTCCTCCTCTGTCTTTGAGAGATCTTTCTGAGATGAGGATGGGCTGTCGGTAGAGGAGAAAAACATTAAGATCAGGATTAGTCTCATCTGGAGGAAGGAAGCTCACAGCTTCTAACAGTGTGAGGAAGGAGTTTTACCCCATAAGAAGCGCTTTGAGACCCAAAGGGTCTGAACACGGAGGTGAGAGGCTTATTTATCAGAGCACTGGTGTTTTTTATGAGCACTTCAGCAAAAAATACACAAGAAATTACAAGAGTGGGCAGAGTGACGCACAAATAAAGACTAAGACAACGCTTTTTTTTTTGAGAGAGAGCTGCCTGCGCTTAATGAATTTATGAACACTTTGTTTCAATTATGTGTTTTACACACTGACACAGGACGTTTGCTGATTTATTAGTCATTTGGAGTTTTTTTAGATTATCACCTTGTGATTTACACAAACAGTTTGACTAGAAGATTTAATTTGAAAAATATTTGAAAAATATTAGATATACATATTTTTTTCTTTTCTCTCACAATAGTATTGTTCACTATAACATTTGTTTTTTGCACATATTTGTTTACTTGTTGGGTGATGGCGCTGCTTCACATATTTGAATGATGTATGGAAACAGTGGTCTCCCCCGGATTAGTCAGATCTGTGGTTCTGCAGTAAGTACAGTTCATGTTTCCTGGAGGTTGAAGAGCTGTACCTCTGACTCAGTAGGGAGGGTGGTGGACCTCTGCAGAAAGACCACTGCTTCCCACCAAGAGCAAGGATCCTTTTCTACACTACGCATTCAAGGGACAGGCTTTTCTACTCAGGTTGTGGCTGCCTTCTAAAAATAACAAGCTGTAGGACTCTGTACATCTTATATTTTAGCTTGGAATGTATTTAGCTGATTAAAACTGAAATTTCAGTTGAGCTGTAAGTATTCTCATCACATGGGTGTGAATGGAATATTTATTTTCATGGCTAATTGGTAGGTATTATAAGAAAGAAAATCCTTTCCTTCAGCGAACTATAAATTAATTTACCGGTTTTAAATATCAGAGACAAGCAGTAATCTGTCTGAACTGTTTTTGAAATATTATACATGATACTTCAGAAAAATGTGCCGTGACGCTAATTTAAAGAAGAACGCTAGGCAAACCACAACAGTCAACAAATCAGTGTTTCTGCTCTATATCTTGCATCTTGTTGTGGTTTTCCCAGTGTTCTCCTTTACATAATACTTTCTTCAGCTCTGTGTACACCAAGGACCGTGCCAAACCCTGGCACCAAGGAGACGGGAAACCATTCGGCTGAGGCGATCCTTGCAACAAACTATTCTATCAGTCCTCCAAATTCCCCTATTACCACCAACTGTCTAGGCCTTGCTGCATTATCCTCACCACCCGGACTAGATGGACTGCTCTCCCGTCTGTTGGGGGTAGCAGTGACAGCTAGGGCTCCCAACTCTAAGTTTGCCACCCGCACATCTTCACCCAACTTGAAAAATGTGTTTGGGTGCTCATAGAACGGGCCTTCCTTTTCTGTGAACCCCTGTAACTACAGTAACCCAAATCATCCTCACTTACCCCTCCTCATCAACCGCATTAACTGCCTGCTCAGTGACCATGTAGACTCTTCTCTAGGTTGTCAAGCCTCCTCAGTGTTGCAATTCGCTCCACCAGATCTCTAATGTGAGCTTCCAGAAGTGCAACCTGCTCACATTTATCACAGCGGTAGTCATCCTGGAGCTGTGGCTCCATTTGTGTATACATGTGGCACAGTGTGCACTGAGCAAATCCTTCAACCATACTACTCCATCCTTCAACTCCCAGTTTAACTCAAAATATACCCCAGTGGTTGACGGAAACCAGAATACAACAAAGACTTAAAATGCTCAATGCAAACAAAGCAGTGGGTCCGGATAACCTGCACCCCAAGGTACTTAAGGAATTAAGCCAGGACGGAAGTTAAAGATAGTGCTTCCAGTTCAAACTCTAATTGTTTCACAGCCAATGTTTTAACACCATTTAGATCCAGCCACTATGTGAGCAAGTTCAATGTGAGTTGTGCACTTGCTTATATTACACCTGATTAACAAGCGACACCTGGGATCAATGAACCCCTACTCTAACCAGTGAGCAAGCTCAGTATGGTGCACTTGCTTATATTACACCTGATTAACAAGGAGACACCTGGGATCAATGAAACCCTGCCCGTAACCAGTGAGCTGCAAACTAGAGAGGAAAAGAAAAGTGCAGTTTAAAAAACTGACAGAAAAGGAAAAAAATGGGTGTTTTAAATACTGACAAAGTCTAACAAAGATAACATGTACTATAAAAGCACTCAAAAAGAAGCACAAAGCCATTTCTTGTACTTAACAATAAGTTGTATAATCTCAATAAAAAATTCAGTTAAAAAAATTAAAAAGAAGCACAAAGCCAATGTTTTAATGCCACTTTATTCACAAGCCAATGTATCTTGTCTGCTGCAAATGTGCTTTTAAATCTTAGCAGAATAAAGATTGTTGTCTGCGATCGCGTTTTTGTCCGAAATGTTTTTTTTTTGGTCTTTCAGACTAGAATTTTTTTGTCAAATTGCACGCAAATCGACGGGTTAGTGCCGTTGTTGTACAACACAAATCTCAAGATGATAATTTGCACATGCTCAGATGAAAATCTGTTCTTTCGATCGATGAAAAATCAGCCAGTTAGTGGTGCTGACGAACGTTAATTGCGAACTACATTGGTCTGTGCATGATGGGCTAGTTGAACGAAATTTAAATGAGGGTGAGATGTCTGGACAAAAAAAGTTGTACAATTGTAAGGTGTATGTCCACCTTTACTTTTGCAGTTCACAAAATTAAAAGGAGAACCCCAGGAATTTTTTTTGTTAACCCTTGCAGAGGGCTACTAAAATGGTTAAGTGCTTGTGTCTTAGTTAAAAAAAAAAGTTATATTCACCTAAACAGGCCCATCCCGGGAGGGACACGTTCTGCGTGTGATTGTGCGCAGCAGCCTGTTCTTCCCTGTGGGAGAAAACAGCTGTTCACTGTCATACGCACATCCGTGTGGGTTCGGGTGTCTGCACTTGGACGCAGACAGTGTGCATTCAAGTGCGAACATCCGGACTCATATAGATGATAGGGAGAAACTGGATGCTGCGTGCAATCACGCAGCACCTGTCCCTCCCAGGCGGCTCGTTTACGGGCGTGCACGCTGCATGGACACATACGCCCATCTGAATGAGGCCATAGACACTATATACAAAGTAAATAGACATGAGGATGCTGAGAAAGATGCAATCCAATGCTGCAGTGGAGGAGCAGACAGGCTGAAGGGAGCGCTATGATAACTAGCTGCTCTCAGTTTCACTATTCTGCCAGCATGTCAGAGAGTGAGGAAGGCCAAGGCAAATTTATTTCCTTGTTCTGCTTCTTCTCCCCTGCACCATAATTCTTTAGCCAGCCTGTGCCTCAATGTTGCATGCTGCCTGTAAGCATCTGCCCATTCTACCTACTAAACCATTTTATATGAAATTATCTCATTAGACTGCAGTACAACTAGAAACAAAATTCACAGAGAAAATGTTTATAAAGTTATGAATATAATAAAAATAAAGAAAGAAACAAAACAAATCTTCCCCTTTGCAGTGGGTTCTCCTCAACACTGCAAGGGTTAACCACTCATTTTGCCTAGGGAACGTCGAGTAAGGAGATAAACTTACCTTATTTATCACCCCTCCCCTGGCAGTTAGTGATCCCCTGTGCTGTCTGACATCCTGGGTTGTAGGTGGGCCCTTAGCATCGTCCACTACAATGCAGGTGGTCCTGCATTGTACACAATAACGGTAGAGAGCTGCAACCGTCAGGCAGCTAAGGGAAGAGGCTTCAGGCAACTTGAAAAGGAGGAAGCCTGCAGGAGCTTCACACCCAATGTTCACCTTCAGCATCTGCTACTAAGCTGACCACTCAGCTCAATGTTATATTAAGCTTCTAGGGTGCCTCCCAAATTTGAAAGATGTATTGCTTTGAGCAGTACATAACCCGCTCAACTATACCAATTGGGTGATGGAAGTCAGTGGAGCTTCAGCACGTTCACTAAGCTAAAGGGGAATTCAGGTAAATAGGGGAATGCTAGGGAATGGCACCATGATCCACGTTACACCCTTATTATGGGTATAACATGGCACATGGTATTAAAGGTCTTCATGATGTATTAATGATTACAGAGCTACATTCATTTGTGTCTTTCATATCTGTGGCAATGAATGTGCCCTGAGACAAATACTAAAGATAGGTAATTTTGGAAATCCCTCTAGATTCAGAGCAGCGCTTTGAGGCATTTCCTCAGAGAAGAACCCCTAATAGAAGGCATCTTGTGGATTTTACACCTAGGAGTGACTTTTACTTGCAAACATTTGAAATGTCTGACAGATTCCCTAAAAGTGTAATTCATCATCAAAATAGCCACCGAAATGCTCCATGCTAAAGGGAAAACTAGATTCAGAGTAGCGCTTTGGAGCAATTCCTCCATAAAGAACCCCTAACAGGAGGCATCTTGTGGAGATTTTCGTTTGGGAATTTGCGTTGCTGCCTAGAACCCCGTTACAATTCTAGCTCAAATACCCTATCAAGCACAGACCAAAACAGGAAAATTGTATTTCATACTTACCGTAATTTTCCTTTCCTGTCCAGCTCCATGGCAGCACAAGGCCCATTCGTGTGCTGCCATGGAGCTGACAGGAAAGTCGTTTCGATAATCATTCTTTGGCAATACTAACTCACCGAATTTCGTAAATCGATAGAATGGATTTCCGTTTGCACATGCGCAGTGTTCATGTTCCATTTCTTTTATTGAAAACGCAAATTCATCGATTTTCGTACGATTAGAAAAAAAGTTTCCCATCCTTACCCTTCGAGAAAATTCGGCCAGGAGTATAGTAAAAAAAAAAAAATGTTGGGATTATTGTTCGAAATACCATTCATGGACCATTTCTGAACAATAATCAATAGGTGTATGGGCACCTTAAGAGTGTAATTCATTATCCAAACAGCCACTACAATGCTCCCTGCTAAAGGGAATAACTAAATCAGTTCCTAACTTGTATGAAACAGTATCTGTTGTGGAAAAATCTTTTTGTACCATTGTATAATGGTATAAAGACTACAAGGCATGTTTTAACATGGGTTACAAGATTGTGTTAGAGGAAGGAGTAAAAGTACCTGGTTATACTTTGTGGTGACTCATCCACTGCATTTGACTCACAAAAGAATTTCTCTATCAGTACGTAATTAGCTCTGGCAGCAAAGAAATCCATAAAACTATCTCCTCGTCTTTTGGTTACAGTAACTATTGAAAGGTTATGGAAGTGCGAAATATTTGGACCTGAAAGTTGCGGCAGTTTCCAGTGTGCAGGCTCATTCACATGGGTGCAGAAGGCCGTACACTGCAATAAATAGTCATATTTCTGCACCCAGGAGTCATAGGGATTAAGTGCACCCACCTGTACAAATCAATGACAGGCTATGGCTATATGATGGTAAATGCTCATCTAAGCGTATACATGTGTACAGGTAGACAGATGTATGTCCCTGGATGCATATAGTCTCCTCATTAAATACTCATCTTTGCTTAGGGCACTATTAAAAATCAGTTTTGCTTACCTTATCCCTTGAGTCTTTTCGGGGCTCATAGGCATGTGCACACCCCAATCACCCCTGTGCAAACATGGCTGATGGCAGATGGAGTTCCCGAGATCTGCAGCCCCAGGGAGCCCGGAAGCCCCATTCAGCTGCTCTCGACAGTGCTGCTGCTCTGCGGTGCCTTGCTGCTCCTTAGCCTGGTGGTGCATTGCTGCGAGCTGGGCAGGGTGGTGGGCAGAAGCGGAAGTTCTGCCAAGATCACCCCACTCTCCTACAAGCAGTTCAGCCCCAGTGTGCCTGAGGAGACCCTGAGAGCCAGTGGGAGGTAGTAGGGCAAGATTGCCCACAACTCAGAGTGCTTCAAGGAGCTAACCCAAAACTACAACTTGGACATTTTCTTCAAGGACAAGGAGGACACCAGAGCAGACAAGCTCATGACACAGATGGATAGCCCAGGAGTGTCAGTATGACACAGGTGAGGGGCCTAGGGGTGGCAGTATGACACTGGTGAGGGACCCAGCATTGACACAGTGCTATAGTCAGGACCCAAGCAGCAATCTACAGAAGAACGCAGACTGCAGAAACCATCGGACAGCAATGAATTGGATAGGACATCATCATCCTTTTTGCTGCAAGTATGTGTCTGATATGTTCCACCTAGCCAAAGTCTGTCTCTGGGCCCATTCACACTAGGGCCATGTGTTAATTGCATGGTGTATATAGCGTGTGTGTTTGTGC